CCAAATGTGGAGGCAGAGTGCGGTTTGTATTGATTTTTTGACAGGGATGGTGGAGGGTGGTTCGGCATGGTGTCGGCATGGTGCCTGGTTGGCCCCCGTCGCCTGGGGGAGGGGGTGTATCATAAGGAACAGTGATAACCCCTTCCAGAAGGGGAAGAAGGGGTGGTGAAGAGAAAACTCCCTAAACCGCCTTACGCCCTAAAGGGCGGATGGGATTCAGTCCCGGCGTCAGGTGGAACTCTAAGAATTCCAATTCGCCCACAACGGTTGGCTGAATAGGGGTCTCCCAACACATGCTTGAAGCGAACAGTTTCTGGAAACGCCTGCAAATCCGGGTGGCCGTCTTGGTGCCCTCTTGTGACGTCTTGGGGCTGTTTTGGGGGTCGTTTTCGGTTGGTTTTGGGCGATATTGGCTGCCTCCTTGGCTATCGTGGGCGTCTCGGGGGCCAGAAGAGGCGGTGACGCCAATCAGCGGTGACACAATCAGCGCGAATCTATGAAACACAACGCAAAATTGGTAACTGGATGGGCTGCAAAAGATCCTGCAGGCATTCAGAATGTCGCGCCCACGTCTTCTCGAAAGACTGGCTGTCTCGCTTCCCTCGAGACCGAAGAGCAGCACCATCGTAGAGCAGGGGGGGCGGCTGACGCGCCATGCGCTCTGAGGGGCCACCTCCTCGGGCGTGAGCTTGGCCAAGAGGAGGATCGAGCACCGAAGGAAAACACGTGTCTCCTCCAATTGGAATAGCAGCTGCTCGTGCTCCTTCTGGGGTCCTCTTGGAGTCTTCTTGGAGCCTCCGAGGCCGTCGTGGGCGCTTGTGAGACCGTCTTGGAATAACTGTTGGCCCATTCGACGCGTTTCTGGCCTGAGGCCGTGGGTCTTGCCTCTCAACTTGGCGCCTGCTGGCGACGCTCCGTGGGCACTCCAGGAACACTGAGGGCCTCGCCCAGGAGTTCTGGTATCCGTGGCCCGGGACCGCCCGGGAGTTGGACCGGGTAACCATATGCCGCAGAGAATGAACACACAGGGATAAGAAAGTTCGGGGTCACGGGGGGATATTACAAGTTGCCCACCAGAGGCCAACATAAAGAGATTATCAAGAGGAGCGAAAGCCGAGGATATCTTGAGACATCCTTGGCTTTTGGTCCTCTCTGAAACATCCTCAGCAATGGTTTGTCTCGCTTGAGACATCCTCGACAAATCTCTCGTTTCGTGCTCGTGTAGGGTAGCTCATGTGCCTCGTTTTCCCAGGACAATCAACCACAGCGATAAACAAGTTCAGGGGGGCACGGAGAGAAGGAGAAAGGCTGATAGAGAGAGAGAGAGAGAGAGAAAGAAAGAGAAATAGAAAGAGAGAGAGAGACACACATAAAGAGAGACAGAGACAAAGAGAAAGAGAGAGAGGATAGGAAGATGAGAAGGAGGAACAAAAATCCAAAGTTCAACACTTATTATATTTTAGTTGTAAACGCTTAATGGAAATTGAAATTTTCATCTGCTCGTGTAGTCCCAGGATAATCAACCACAGCGATAAACAAGTTCAGGGGGGCACGGAGAGAAGGAGAAAGGCTGATAGAGAGAGTGAGAGAGAGAGAAAGAAAGAGACAGAGAGAGACAGAGAGAGAGACACACAAAAAGAGACACAGACAAAGAGAAATAGAAAAGAGAGGAGAGGAAGATGAGAAGGAGGAAAGACACATCCAAAGTTCAAAACTTATTCGGTTTTTGTTGTAAACGCTTAGTGGAAATTGAAAGTTTCATTCGCTCGTGTAGGGTACCAGGACTATCAACCACAGCGATAAACAAGTTCAGGGGGGCACGGAGAGAAGGAGAAAGGCTGAGAGATATAACGAAAGAGAAATATAAAGAGAGAGACAAAGAGAGAGAGAGAGAGAGACAAAGAGAGAGAGCGAGAGAGAGCGAGGAGAGGAAGATGAAAAGGATGAAAGAAGCATCCCAAGTTCAAAACCTATTAGATTTTATGTGTAAGCCCTAAACGGAAATTAAACTTTTCATCTGCTCGTGTAGGGTAGCTCATGTGCCTCGTTTTCCCAGGATAATCAACCTCAGCGATAAACAAGTTCAGGGCGCCAGGGGGAGGAGGAGAAAGAGACAGAGAGAAAAAAGAGGAGGAAGAGGAGGAGGAGGAGGAGGAAGAGCAGGGAGAGGAGAGAAGGGAGAGGAGCAGGAGGAAGAGGAGGAGGAGGGGAAGGAGCAGGAGCAGAGGGAGGAGGAGGGGGAGGAGAAAGGAGGAGCAGGAGGAGGGGGAGCAGGACAGGATTCCTTAAGCACTGCTTGTTTCGCTTGAGACGTCCTTGCAGAATTGGTTGTTTCGCTTCAGACATCCCTCAGACGTTCGGCGAACTTTTCACAGTGATAATGAAGTTCGGCCTCCGCGCTCTCCGCCTACATCTGAAACCCTTCTAGGCCGACGATAATCAACTCAAATGACTTACAGGGGGGGTACTTTATTATCTGCGGCATGGGGTTACTTTTCGTCTTGGGACCCCAAGGGGGGGCCCTGCGCGCACGAACTAGAAACACCATCTGGTACTGGAGATCATACCACGCCTCTGACCCGTTGGGCCAGCGAATTCGTGTTCCCTCGGGCCCCTTTATTTCTATTTCTCACCACTGTCTGGGCCCTCGCGCGCCTCTGTCGCGTGCGCGAGGCATGGTGGCGGATACTTATTCGCTTGACTTCCAGGGGGCGACGTTTGCTCCAGTCGTGGAGGAGAGAGGTCGTCGCACGTTTGGCTCAGCAGCGTGTTTGGGGCCTGGCCAGGGAATGTGGAACTGTATGCATCCCAGCGGCCTCGAAACACTCCAGCGGCTGGCTGTTGCCAGTGTTAACATCCGAATCCAGAGCAGCTCATCGAATCCGCGTCTGCGGGGGCTGTAGGTCTTCCTGCGTGCACGCAGTGTGCTGCGGCATTATTGTCATACCTACTGATATGATCGATTTCCCAAGGGAGTATTCCAACTGATCAATCGTGCGACCGTGACATCCCTCCTCTCCCCTCGAAGGTCCTCCAAACTGCACCCCGCGTCCCTTCCCAACATGCCTTCCACTGCGACCTATGAAGACCTCCCAGATGCAGGCCCCGAAGGGGGCCAAGATCGCCCCAACCTGGCCCAAACAGGTCCTCGAAAGGGCTTCAAGAGGCCCGACGGGAACCCCAAATGGCAGCGAGAGAGCAGCAGGATGGCCGCGCCCATTCCCAAACCTTCTTCGTCTGATCTGTCGAGTGTATGATCTTTGGGGAACCGAGCGGAGCAGCCCGAGTCCAACCCGGAAGCCCCCGAGAGAAGAGGGTCCGCACCCAAGAGACGAGGGAAGTCCCCGAGATAAGAAAGAGCGTGTTCTACCGCTGCTGGCGGAAAACCAGGGGGGGTCACTACCGGTTCGAACCCCTCCCCCCCCCCCCTCCGGAAAACCGGGGGGGGGGGTCACTACCGGTTCGAATCCCCCAGTCCATTATGAAAAGGGGTGGGGGTCACTACCAGTTCGACCCCCCCCCCTCCCCCCCCCCTCCTTCTCCGAAAACCGGGGGGGGGTCACTACCGGTTAGAACCCCCACTCCCCCTCCCCCATCCCAAAACCGGGGGGGGGGTGCGGACAGTGGTGGGGACGGTGGTGGTGGGGACTGGTGAGGGGACAGCGGGACAGTGGTGGGGACAGTGGGACAGTGGTGGGGACGATAGTGGTGGGGACAGTGGTGAGGACAATGGTGGGAACAGTGGGGGCAGTGGGACAGTAGTGGGGACGGTGGTGGTGGGGACAGTGGTGTGGGGACAGTGGGAATGTGGTGGAAACAGTGGGACAGTGGAGGGTACTGTGGCGGTGGGGACAGTGGTGAAGGCGGTGGCGAGGACGGCGGTGGGACAATGGGACAGAGGTACAGTGGGGACACTGGTGGGGACAGTGGGGACGGTGGTGGGAACAGTGGGACAGCTCAGTGGGACAGCGGAGGAGTCAGTGGGACAGTGGGGACAGTGGGGATAGTCGGGCAGTCGTTGGGGCCGTGGAGAAAGTGGGGAGAGTGGAATCGTGGTGGGAACAGCAGTGGTGGGGACAGTGGGGACAGTGCGACAGTGGTGGGGGCACTGGTGGGGACAGTAGGGAAGGTGCTGGAACCAGTGGGGACAGTGGTGGTGAGGACAGTGGTGCTGGGAACAACAGTGGGGGATGTGGTGCGGACGGTGGTAGGGCCCAGGAGTCGTTTGCTGGCGGTGAGGGGGGGTGGGGAGGGGTTCGAACCGGTAGTGACCCCCCCCGGTTTTCGAGGGGGGGGGTTCGAACCGGTAGTGACCCCCCCCCGGTTTTGGAGGGGGGGGGGGGGGGAGGGGGGGGTTAGGGAAGGGGGGGGGGTCCAGCAGGGGGGGGGGATTTTCGGAGGGGGGGAGGGGGGGCTCGTTTTGCGGAGGAAGAAGGGTGGCAATTTTTCACAGTAAAGCTGCGGTGGATCACGCTCTCTCCGAGATAATTATGCCGCACCTATTGTAATCGATGCGTCTGCAATGCGGCCCGAAGTGGAGCTCTCTTTGCTCCACGCCAGCGACCCCGATGCGTCGGCCATGCGTCGCAATCCTCCGACACCATCTGCTCTGGCCCCATTTGGGAGGCCTCCTTGTAGTTCCCCTAGCAGTATTTGCACCAAGAGGATCTTGATTCGCCTGTGAGTGGCTGGCGTTTCCGGTGTTTCACCTGGTTGCGCGCAATATATACATATATACACACCAGACCGAGCTGTGATTTCGTATGTCGTCGTGCGGTGAATCGTGTTTGGTACCGCGATGCTCTTCTTTCTCCTTTTCATGTGCTGCCCAACCACTAGCGTCACACATGTTTGTCACCAGCGTCACGCGCAATCAGTTTCTGGCACAAAAGGCTCAGCAACCATCGATTAGTAGGTCCTCTCTCGACCGTCGCCTTCTTCCAAACCACCCGGCGATGGCGGCCACTGCGATTGGAGGCTTGCCTGCGTGCCTGCCAAAGGATGTTCTGGCGGAGCTCAAGGAGACAGCCACCAAGCTCTGCGCACCCGGGAAGGGGTTCCTCGCTGCCGATGAGTCTGCGGGCCCGTGGCTGCGCGCCGGCCACGCCGAGGCAGCGAAGATCCCCGACGTCATCGAGAACCGTGCCGCGTACCGCGCCATGTGCTTCGGCACCCCGGGCTTGAGCGAGCACATCAGCGGTGTGATCCTGCACTGGGAGACTCTCTTCCAGGACGACGCCTCAGGGAAGCCGATGGTGGACATCATCACTGGGAACGGCATGATCCCAGGCATCAAGGTGGACAAGGCGTACAACAAGAAGGGCATGTGGGGCACCGCCGTCGGGCCGCTGGGCCACCCCGAGGTCTCCACCGTGGGCCTCGACGACCTCCAGAAGAGGTGCGCGGAGGCCTACGCGAAGGGAGCCCGTTTTGCCAAGTGGCGCAACGTCCTCCAGCTCGACCCCAAGACGGGGCTACCCAGCGACCTGGCCATTGCCGACACGGTGCACACTCTGGCGCGCTACGCGTCTATCTGCCAGAGCGAGAAGTTGGTGCCGATCGTTGAGCCAGAGATTGTGCCCAATGGCAACCACGATATCGCCTATTGTGCGATGGTGACCGAGAAGGTGCTGGCCGCCCAGTTCAAGGCTCTGGCGGATCACCACATCTACCTGGAGGGTTGCCTCCTGAAGCCGAACATGGTGAAGAACGGCATCGGTGGTACGAAGGCTGACACTGAAACAATCGCAACGCTGACAGTGCAGGCGCTGCTTCGCACAGTGCCTCCAGCGTTGCCGGGTATCTTTTTCCTGTCTGGCGAGACCGCGCTGGACGAGGACAACGAGGAGGTGGCAACCATCAACCTGAACATGATGAACAAGCTCTTCAAGGACAAGATGCCCTGGCACCTCTCCTTCTCGTACGGCAAGGCCTTGCAGAAGACGTGCATCGTGACCTGGATGGGCAAGGAGGAGAACAACGCGGCCGCCCAGAAAGCACTGAAGGCGAGGGCCAACGCGAATTTCGATGCAGTCATGGGCAAGTACACGCCCGGGAGCTGCCCCAGCGTCGGGACCGACGGCAACGTGAAGCAGGCCGCAGGGCCGTACTGACCGGCCGACTGATAGAGTTGCCGTGTCAGAGACAGGCCGATGTCCCTGTGAGGCCGCATGCGGCACGGCTCCGCCCCTGAGGTGTTTGGGAGGGCGAGGGAAGGGAGTCAGGGACAACGTGAGAGGGGGCTAGGCTCGGAGGGGGAATGCAACGGCACCCTATCGCCCGTTCATCGCCGATAGCGGTTCTCGGCCAGGAGCGTGCGGATTCGCTATCGGGGCTCTGTCGCCGATCAATCGGCAATGTCCCCCCCCTCTGAGCGGGTACCCCCCTCTCGCTGCCCCTCAACGATGGGGGGAGGGAGGTGGAGCAGAGGAGGCGGAGGAGGAGGAGGAGGAGGAGGTGGAGGAGGAGGGGTGAGGTGGAAGGAGGAGGATGAGTGGATAGTCTGGTGGGGGTGGAGGAGGTGGTGGAGGGAGGGAGGAAGTAGGAGGAGAGTGGGCAGGAGGAGGAGGAGGGTGGAGGAGGAGGTGGACAGGAGGAGTGAGGAGGAGGATGGTTGAGGAGGAGGAGCGAGGAGGGAGGGGGAGGAGGAGGGGAGTGAGGAGGAGGAGGCGGAGGAGGGAGGAGTAGGAGGAGGAGGCAGGAGGAGAGGAGGAGGGGCGGAGCGAAGGAGGGGGAGGGGAGGAGAGGAGGAGGAGGAGGAGGAGGAGGCGGAGGAGGAGATGAGGAGGAGGAGGCGGACGAGGGGAGGGGAGAGGAGGGAGGAGGGTAGGAAGGAGGATGAGGAGGAGGAGGAGGAGGACGAGGAGGAGGAGGAGGAGGAGGAGGAGGAGGATGAGGAGGACGAGGTGGAGGTGGAGGTTGAGGTGGAGGAGGAGGTGGGGGTGGAGGAGGTGGTGGAGGTGGAGGAGGAGGAGGAGGAGGAGGAGGAGGAGGTCTCCCGCAGGAGCGCGAGGGTATCTGCGCTTCGTGCTCGGGGGCGCAGGGCCGTCCTGCTGCGGCAGGGCGGCGCCAGGGCCGCGGAGAGGGGCTGCCCGTGGTCTGTGCCTCGCGCGGCGCGAGCTCGAAGGAGGCCCAGGATTCGGTGGCAAATCATGGGAGCCTGATCTACCCTCTTAGTTCTGTGAGGCCCAGGATTCGGTAGCAGATCCTGGGAGCCTGATGTACCCTCTGAATTCCGTCTTTCGCGTCGACTGGCGTCTCGAGTCGATGGGATAGCGCCGATTTATCGTCGGCTAGCGTCGATCTGCGTCGGTTTAGCGTCGATTAGCGTCGACTCAGCGTCGATGAGCGTGGATTCGCAAAAGCCGATAAGATGGGATGGGAAGCCCCCATGAGTTGCCACCGAACCAGGAGAGGCGGAGGATGAGGAACAGCAGGGAGACTTCGATGCAGTCTCAGGGAGGGGGGGCGTTGGAGGATCACCTGTGCTGCTGCTGCTGCTGCTGCTGCTGCTGCTGCCGCTTCTCTCTCTCCTCTCTTCTCGGGAGGGGGGTGCGGAAGAGGGGCGGGGCCAGAGTCCACAGGGCATCCTTGCAACCTCGGTGAACCACTCGACCGCCCTGACCCTCTCCTTCGTCCGCCTCTCCTCCCTCCTGCTTCTGAATTAAGTTTCTTTTTGGGGACCACCCTGGGCCCCACCTGACGGATCTGCTCGACTCTACAGTCAACTCGCAACGTCAGGATGAGCATTTTTCCAAAGTTACCCTTGCAACCTTCCCCTTCGGCCCGTCCTGGCTGGCCGCTTTCGCTGGCCGCGCCCCGCCCGCAGAGTGTCGGCATGGTCTTCCAAGGCCATTGCATCCTTCTCGTGGGTCCTTTGTGCACGGGTTGACTGTAGCTCGACTCAAGCTTGTCTCATTTCGACGGACGTTCGACGCAGCATCGACTCGTGAGTGGAGCGGTTGGCTCCAGGCAGGTCTCCGGAACGAGCATCACATCTTTTTTTCTCTCCCGCCTCGCAGGCCTAGAGGTTGGCACCAACACCATCGGCGGCGTGCTTCCGCCGAGGGAAGAAGATCTCGATCTCGGTGATGGTGGTGATGTTCTGGCTTCCAAGGCGGCCGAACTATTACCACCAGCACCGAAATCTAGAATCATCTAGGATCATCTTCCCCCTGTGAAGGCACCCCCTGTGTTGGTGTTGGTGCCCATTTCCAGGCCTCCAACCTCTCCCTGTCGCTGGCGCGGCAGCCCCCCCCCCCCCCAGGGGGCCGCCGCCCTAGGGGGGAGATTGGGCACGAACCACGCGGCGGAGGCCCCACCCCAGGGGCGGAGTAACTGATTAGGTCCTCCGACAGGGCCCGACGCCACCGGCGGCAGCGACATGAGGAGGAGGAGGAGGAGGAGGAGGAGGAGGAGGAGGAGGAGGAGGAGGAGGAGGAGGAGGAGGCATGCGGGAGGAGGATGTGGGGAGGAAGGAAGCGTCGCCTAGGAGGTGGACGGGGGGAAGTAGGGGCACGGCGGGAGTGGTGAGGAGGAGAAAGATTGAGGGGGAGAGGGATAGAGGCAGGGTAAACGATTCTGGACGAAGCGAAAGGGGGCGATGGGGGAGAGACG